TACATCATTCCAAAAAGGTTACCTTCTGAAAGTTCTAAGAAACACTTTCAGGAAATGTCACTTTCTCATTTTAAGATTCATTTTACTTCCATTTATTACTTTTAAATAACTGCAAGTTTTCTTTATGCCTAGACATTCCTTTAAAAAGAACATCTTAATATCCAAGGAAAATGCTAACACCTGTGTTCTCTTAGTTTTAATGTATTTTTTGCTACATGAAAGTTGCTTTATTTTTAAACAAAGTTCCCATTGCAAAAGTAATGTGTCAGTGTCATAGAAATTTCAAGCCATTCAGAAGAGTACAAAGGGAAAAAAGTACCACCACCCCTCCCACTCTCCCAACAACTGGTTCTACAACAGCAGGATAACCACTAAGTAAATTTGTATCTGCTTCCAGAGAAGCATAGATCATATATAAATGTGCGCACGTGTTTACGTGCATACTTTACATAATTTTTAAAGACTAAATGAGATGATACTATGCAGACTATTCTGCACCTTGTTGTTTTTCCCCACAACGGTATGTGTGGGTAGCTGCACAACACCTCTTTTTTTACCAGCTCCATAGTATTCCTTGGCAGGAATGCGCTGTAACTTAACCAGTCCCTTCTTGAGTATTGCCCCTTGCTTCTGGAACAACAAATATTGCCATCTATGTAACGTGCTAGTGCAAGTATTTTTTGAAGGACACAGTCCAAGAAGTGAGACTGCTGGCTAACAGAGTAGAGTAGGTATGTTGAAAATTTTTTCTAGGTATTAACAAATAGCCCACCCGAAAAAAAAAAAAGTCAGTGCCGCTCATCCCCACTAACTGAATGCTGATGCATTATTAAATTACGGCAGACCTTTACTGAATGAGCCTCAAGTAGCAAAGCTGGCCAAAGAATCACAAAGTCTAAAAGTGAGAATGAGAACTAGTACTTACCAAGTGTTTATCAGCCACTGCACTTGACCTTTACAACATCTCAATAATACACTAATCCTGTGAGTGACACTGTCCCTGTTTTTTGAAAAGAGGAAAGCGGGGCTCAGAGAGCTTACCCAATATTATGCAGCTTTGTAAGTAACAGAGCCAGCATCTGAACCCAAGGGATGTGGTGCCAAAGTGAGCTGCCCCAAACCGGGGCCAAAGGGAGGGGCTCTTAAAAAAACAAACAAAAAAAAAAGGGCTCCCAATTAACCTTGGTTAATAGGGTGGCTCCAAAATGTTTGCTCACACAGAGGCCCAAATGTTCACTGTATGCTACTTCAAAGGGTCATATTTCCCCCTGTGAACCCCCTCTCGGGCCGCGCTTAGCAATTCAGCTCTGACAAAGCAACAAGGAGCCCACGGTCCACGGGACCCAGAGAGGCTGACCAACACATACTTGGAAAGCTGATAGCCGTGGAGGAAGCGAGAAGCAGGTGGTGGGCTGCCAGGGCCAAGCGAGATATTTTGGACCTGTATCAGTTGTCATAAAAACAGTACGGGGGAAGTGGGACTAGCGCACACATGAGAGAGAACCACAGTTAACTGACACAGTCTGCTGATACCACCTTTCCCTGCCTCCAACACTTGCTATTTCTGCTGCACAGATTTGCTGGGCCCAGGCACTTTCGGAGGGCACTTAGTCACGTACAGAGGCAGACAGCTGGGACTCCCTGCCCTGACAAAACAGGTTGCCAGGTAAGCTCCCGGTCCACTGCTGTGTGCAGCTCCCATCACAGGGCCGGGGGGGGGGGGGGGGGGGGGCGGGGACGCTGTTTTCAATGTCCCTGGAGGAGAGTCTGGTCTGTGGTCACCAGCCCTTACAGCTACCTGGGTTTGTTGTCAGGGAGGAGTGCTTGTAACTGTACCTTGCCATTTAAATGTTGAGCATTCAAAGTGTGTCTCTTACTGTCCTTGGGTCCTCTGTATCTAAGCAAGCGCTTAAGATGGGATCTCTCAGCGTGCGCCACTCCTAGTAAAACATCAACTCTTCACTGGGGATAATGAAATAAAAAGGAGGGAGGGAAAGGAAGGAAAATCTTTTTCCCCTTTCCTATTTGGTGTCCATTCCAGGCACAGGGCTCCAGAAGTTCCATGGGTACAATCAACAGTTGAAAGGTCACAGAAAATGGATAACGTAAAGTTTAAAATGGGGAGAAGGGGGCATCAAACTGGATTTGAGGAGCATCTTAAAATGCCATCACAAATGCCACAGAATGGAGGCGAGGACACACCAAGAGGTAATTTGGCTTCCATAATTCAAAAATCGGAAAGTACAAAAGGGTATATGGTGATGTTTCCCTCCCACCTCATGTCACAGCCACCTAGTTCCTCTCCAGCAAAAAAAAAGCCAATGTTACTAGTCTATTGACTGTCCTTCCAGCGATATTTTATACCAGCAAACTTATATAATCACAATTTATTTTAATATGGCTATATATATAACTTATTATAAATATTAAAACTTTCCCTTGCAGATTAAAGTGCCGCTTAAATATTTTTAAAGGGGCAGAAATTAACATTTTTTTAAATTTCAAAGAGTTTTGAAACTTGCAGTTGAACTCTTTTCCCTCAAAAACTTACCAACATTTAAAAATGAAATTGTTTATCTCCAGAAATTAAGTTGGGCACCCGACACCCAGCAGATACTTAACAAATGTTTCCTTAGGTCTTTTTGTCCTTTATTACTCAGAGGCAACAGGACAATTACTCACTTCCTTTACTGATATCAAGAAATGAAATCTGTTTTCTTACTATTATTAACAAAGAGAAGTCCTGAAAATCTGTACTATATTCGCTTAAGTGTTCAAAGATTTTCATAATTTTTAAAAATCAGAATCCCTATCCCAATAGCCTCCACAAAATAATGAATAATTAGCTAATCAAATGACATTAGAATGCAAATGAAGCGTGTGTGTGCGCTAAAACAGAAGACTAGATAGATATCCATGAGACAGAGAACTGTTTTCTCACAGTTACAGGCAAAACATTCACATCAGAATATTAATATCTGGCAGAACCTAGGACATTGCATATTGACAAACTAAATTTCTTAGTATATTTCAAAGTAACACTAAAACCGAAAATGACACAGAATGAGATGATGTTGCCTTTTCTGAACAATCATCAATTAAGCCAGATTTCAGTACCACAAAATGACACGGTACACTGCAGCAGGGCCCCAATGACTAAAAGGTTGAGATGAGTTTAAAAAGTACATAATCAGCACAGGAAAATTCCACTATTGTTTGTAGGCCTTAAGATAAAGGTGACTGAGCTCCTAAGAACATGGAGTACTCCCTCAGAAAAAAAATATTTTTAAATCCTCATTTTCCATGCGCTCGAATGTGTATTTATGAGCCTGTCCAATCTACCTTCTGGAAGTATTCTACGCTGTGCTTTAATGAAATGGATCTAGAGGCTATAAAATAAAAATCTTCTCATAGTTATCTATAGACATAGAAGGGTAATCTTCATTTGCATTATCTCTCAGAGTCAGTCACCTGAAATGACAACATGCTTCAACTCCCCACCCTGCTAGCTGCTCAGTAGGCCTCCTAGCTTACCTGCAGCCTTGGCATTAGTCATTTGTCACCCACTGACACAAACCACAGAGCTCAAGAGTGGCCAGGTATCGAGGCCAAAGTTTGAGTTCACATCTGTAATTTGCAATAACCAAACTCAGTCTTAGACCTGGTTCTGTTTCAGTGACAGATCTGTTTAGAACTCTACCTCTGTAAAACTAGAGGGATCCTGACAGCACTTTGTAACCTTGGTGGCCATGAGCCTGGGCTGTCAACGACCGATCAAGAGCCCCGAGAAGCAAGGCCCAGGGCCAAGGGTAATTTTCACATTAAAGATTCAGGTTTCTGCTTTCCATCCTTTATCAGAGAACCCTGAATGGAAATTGAATGGAGAGATCCCTCCAGTAAAAGTGATGAAGTAAAACGTTCCCTACTGGGAATAGTCATGAGGTGGGCTCATCTATTTCCCATGAGGATGCCCACCTGGGCCTTAACTCCGCTGAATTCAATTCAAAAAGAGAATACGTTTCTACTTTGGAGTCATAACGGGAGGGGGGGTGTGGTGAGAGGGATGATTCAGATTACAGTTAACTGACATCCATGTAATAACGGAAGATTTGTGCAGACCACTCTGCGCGCAACACAGCGTGTGTTATTATATCCAGAAAAGGAAGGTGGCATCAGCCCATCCTTCACAACAAAAGAATGGCTGACTCCGGAGTTAAAACCACTCACTACTTTTCCTCTTCACCCACTTATAAACGGATCTTCAAAGTCACGTCCATGTTAAAATCTGAAGAACACAAAAGCTCCTCTTCCCTTGGAGAAGCCAAGTACCTGGGTATAACGTCCCACCTGGACAGAAGAGCGGGAGGCGTGCCCATATACCCGACTAGGCCCGATCACGTCGGTGCACCACTCTGGATCCGGGACCACGCTCACCTTTCACAGCGCTTCAGGCTCCGACTTTGTTAACAAGAGACCCGGGAACATAGATCTCAGAAGTGGGCGCTCACCCAGGTTGACCATGGATGTGTGGCATCCATCAGGCCCCGGCTGCCCATACCCAAGCCCAGAAACCCTCAGCCCTCGCCCCCACCCTCACCGTGGCCTGCTTCTTGGGGTGACGCGGTCCCCAGGGTAGTCACCCGCCGCGGCACACAGACCCTGTTGAGCTGAACTGGGGCGGAGGTGGGGGCGGGTGCGGAAGAGCGATGCGGGGGGGGGGGCGCAAAACAGAACCCGGCGGACAGAACCAGGCCACCTCTGTGCCTTTCATTTTCCTGGCTCCCCGATTAAGAAACGTCGAAATGGGCTGGAATTCTTTTTAACGGTAAGAGAAAGCCAGAAAATACAGACAGTTGACCTTGGGAACCAACCCCGTAGCAGCGGGAAACGGAAAAGAAACACGTTGGCAAGCGAAGGGGGAGCGCAGCGCGGGGCGGGGTCGGGGGGAGCGCAGCGGCCGGAGGGGTGTCGGGGTGGTAGGCGCGGTAGGGGGTGCTCACCGTAGATCATGGCCAGCCCCGTCTCGTGCAGAAAGCGCACCCGGCGGTGCTTGAAAAGCCAGATGGTGAGGATGGTGAGCGTGAGCAGCAGGATGAAGGTGAGGAGGCTCACGCTGTCTTGCCGGTGGCTCTCCTCCGCCTCCTTCTCCGTGGCGAGCTCCTCCATGGCGCTGCTGTCCTCGGCCGCCGCCCCAGAGGAGGCCGCGGCCGCGGCGCGCAGCCCCCGACCCAGCAGCAGCGGTAGCAACGGCAGCAGCAGCAGCCGCGGTGGCAGCGCCCGGGCCGCCGGTCCCGAGCTGAGGCGCGCCGCGTCACCAGGCTCCATGGTCCCCAGGGCCGCCCGCGCCTCCCGCGCGCGGGGGACCAGCAGCCCGCGCCGTCGGCGGGTTCCGCGGCGCCGCCGACCTGCCCGAGTGGCCGCTGCCGCCGCAGCTCCTCCCCCCGCGCGCGCCGGGCCGGGGCTGCGCCGGGAGCCGCGTGGGGGAGGGGCGCGCGCAGTGCGCAGGATCGCCAAGCACCGCCCCCCCGCCCGCGCACCTGTTCGGCCCCCAGCCGCGCCGCGCTGTGCGGGCCGCGCTCCCGGCCGCCGAAGCCCACGCGGCGGGGGCCCTCCGACTCAGGGGGAGCGGCCGTTGGCCCCGGGCCTGCCTGCGCTCCTCGCGCGGTCCCGGCGTACCTGGCCGGGCCGTCTGGGGTTGCGGGGCCCGTTCCTGGGCCGTCGCCGCCGCGCTTCCTAATCGCGACGCCAGAGGTCGCCAGTGCCTGGCAGGAGCGTCAGCTTGGATTCGCGCGCTGGGGGATCTCGGGTCCTGTCTCTGGGGCCACCGCGAAGCGTTCCATCTCAGGCCAGTGTGCGGCTGTCCTGAGCCCAGTAAAACGGGGGGGGGGGGGGGGGGGGGCGGGGCCTGGGGGAAGAGAAGATTCGCGAAGCAGCGTTGCCGCCTCCACCTCTCTTTCCACAGCTCTCACAGTGCCTTCCAGCTTTCAGGGCCTCCCAGACTCTACCAGGCTTCATTCAAACCTCTGCTCTAAGTCTGTCCCAAAGTGAGGACTGATAACGGGTTGGAATGGGGTGCAAGCGTTAAAATAGCTCCTTCACCCCTTGGGGACTAGACTGACTTCTTACTCTGGACTGTGTAACTAGCCCTCTTGGGGAACAGGGTTGAACCAGAAGGAACTGAACACGTGCCATTCCTGCTAGATGAGCAGCGGGGGGTGAGGGTGGAGATTACCCTGGTGGCCCTTTTATGTTGACCTTATGGTAGCCCAGGGAGTCTTTGGATGATTCTTAGGACAGCTCTGGAATATAGAGTGGACTCTGGAGGATAACGCCTCTTGGAACAATTCCTCAGGAACTAAAATTTTCAATCCAACTTGTTCCTCTGGTCAAGGAAGAAAAGAGATTGAATTCTTTTTTTTTTTTTAAGATTTGTTTTTAAGTAATCTCTACACCCAACATGGGGCTCGAACCTATAACACCAACATCAAGAGTTGCATGCTCTACCTAACTGAGCCAGCCAGGCACCCCTGGAGTGACAAAATTCTCAATCACTGAATTCCCAGTGTCTAACCCTGTGCTCATAAGTTTATTGAACTGCTCTGAAATTCATACCAACAGTTCACGTTTTCTCTCCCAGAGGAGTTTGCATATTTAAGAGAATTTCTTGAAGAAAGCAAAGCTTAACTAAAAAGAGTAAAGAGTAATAAGAATAGGGTAGGGATGGCATTTGATAGGAAGGATATTTGGAGTACTGCAGCCTTCCTGGTTCCCCTCTAGGTGAACACTCTGCCAAGCTGCTTAGTACCTTCTTTAAAGCAGGGGAATCTCTTCAAGATTTTAGCTAGCCTTGTTCCCAATTTGTCCCGACTGTACCCCAGCCCTTGCAAAAATCCATATATCTTGAAGTTCCATGCAGGTTCCCAATGAAATTGCAAACACCAAAAACCTGGATAGTCACAGAGAAAGTTATACAACAACAGGAAGATGATCTAGTTTCTGGAGATACACTAAAATCCACGTTTGCTGGAAACTGGTTATGTTGATCATAATATTTAATATTACACCCTCTTGCATTCCTGTAAGTCGAGGACAGAACTTCTCTCTGCAGACTTCTTAGTACTTATGGCAGATTGTATTTTCAAACAATGCCCACAACCGTATTTCCCATTGCACCTGCTCTTCCAGAACTTGCCACTTCCCCATCAAAGGGTGGTATCTGTGTTCCCTCTCCCCTTGAACTTCAGTGGACCCTTGTGACTGCCTCAAAGAGTACAATGTGGCAATAAAGACTGCAAAACTTGTGAAACCAGGTCATAAAAGACAATCTAGTTCCTGCCTGACTTACTCTCACACTCTTGCTGTCCACTCATTTTGGAGCCCTGAGCTGCCATGTACAAAAATCTAGACCACAGTGAGCTATCACATCACACCTGTTAGAAAGGCTATCATCAAAAAGACAAGAGACAGCAAATGTGGAGGAGCCTGTGGAGAAAAGGGAGCCCTCATGCACTGTTGGTGGGAATGTAAATTGATACCGCCACTATGGAAAACAGTGTGGAGGTCCGTCAGAAAATTAAAAATAGAACTACCACATGATCCAGAGATTCTACTTGTGGGTATTTATCCAAAGAAAGTGAAAACAGGATCTCATATATCTTCATTCCTATGTTTATTGCAGCATTATTCACAATAGCCAAGATAGGGAAACAACTTAAGTGTCTGTCAATAGATAACTAGATAAAGAAAATATGCACATATATATATATAGAGAGAGAGAGAGAGAGATTGGGATATGTAGATATAGCTCTATACACACACAATGGAATATTCAGCCATGAGAAAGAAGGAAATCCTGCCATTTGCAACAGCATCGATGGATCTTGAGATCCCATAACTCAGTGAAATAAGTCAGGCAGAGAAATACAAATATGTATGACCTCACTTATATGTGGGATCTAAAAAAGCTGAACTTGTAGAAACAGAGAGTAGAATATTGGTTACCAAGAGCTGAGAGATGAGATAAATGGGATATATTAGTCAAAGAATACAAACTTGCAGTTATAAGATGAAGACATTCTGGGGATCTAATGCACAGTGTTGTGATTACAGGTAACAATTCTGTAGTACATATTTGAAAGTTGCTAAGAGAGTAGATCTTAAATGTGGTCACCACAGAGAGGCATGGTAATTATGTGACACGATGGAGGTATTAGCTAACACTAAGGTGGTAGTCCTAGCGCAAAAATGTAAGTATATCAAATCAACACGCTGTACACCTTAAGCTTACACAATGTTATATGTCAATTATATTGCAATAAAGCTGGGAATTTTTTAAAAAGAAATTGATCTACCTTGAAGCTGCCATGCTGGAGAAACCATGGTCGAGACAACATAGCCACACAGACAAACACCACAGGAGCGACAGCTTTTTTTTAGTGTTCCCAGCCCAAATACCCCACACCTGAATGAGTGAACCTTCAAATTATTTCATTCCCAGCCACCATCTTATGGTAAGCGTATGAGAGACTCTCAAGGAAGAACCACCTAGCTGAGCCTAATCAATGCCTGAATCTATGGGATGACCACATAATGATTTATGTTGTTTTAAGCTACTAGGTTTAACTGTGATTTCTTCCATAACAGTAGATAACCAGAAGAATATTTATGCTATAAAGAGATTGCCTCAGGTAGAGTATGAGAAGATTTGTCCCAAGTATTCACAAATCTACACCAAAGAAAATGCTCAATTATCTATACATGTTTATATATGAAAACTAACCTATGCAATACAGGGGTTCTGATTCCAGTTAACACAGAATAATCACACTCAACCCATTCTCTCCCACTGAACAGAATGTGGGGATCAGTTATTTGAGGACTCTAAAAATATCAATTGTACCAGGTAAATTGAGGCAGAGCACCAGAATTTGAAGTAAAACAATAGGCAATGAGTTTACAATTTTTTCCCTCCAGTAGCCACTGGACTGAACTGAAGGCAGTCCAAGCCCAGAAGGGGACATTGACATGGACAGAGAGAGCACCAAGAAGAGCAGAAAATAGACCTCCTAATGTTCAGAGAGAGTAGGGAAGTACACCAATTTTTCCTTTTTCCATTATCTCACACCCTTGCCAATAGGCAATCCCCCATTGTGGCTGAGTCAACAGTGACAATGGAGGGAGCAGTGCTGCCAAAGTACCTAAAATGCTGAGGGAGGGGGAAACCTTCCTCTCTGGTTTGGAATAGCCATGGTCCCAAGTCAGTGGAGGCAAATGCCCATTGATAACACCTTTTTCTCTCTCTCTTCTTCCTCCTGCCACTTGGCTCCAGACATGGGTGAAGTTGCAGGAAGTGCATGCCAGAGAGAAGTAAATAAAGACTCAGATTTCTTGCCAAAGGATTGAAAAGAGGAACTCCAAGGAACTGCAAAGTCCCAGCGAGATTTTGGAGAGGGAGCAACTTGGGAAAACAACCCTATAAAGTTTATGAGCTCCTAGGTTCACCCTAACCTGCATGTGGATCTTATCCTAAACAGCATACCAAAGACTGTGAAAACCAAACTAAGAGACAGATCACCACCCAGATCTGAAACTAGCCACTGAATAAAACACTTGCGGGGCAAGTCAAAATAGCACTGCAAAATTTTTGAAGACTGAATTGACTTTGGAGCCATGATCCACAAAAGGCAGGCCAGAACTTGTGATTTGGACCCAACCATGTTGACTACAAGCTAAAACAAAAATATGAATACTCCTCTATAAGATTAACACAAGACACAAGGCCCCATCTCATAATATTAAAAATGTCCAAGATATGGGTCACCTGGGTGGCTCAGTCAGTTGGGTGTCTGCCTTCGGCTCGGGTTGTGATCCTAGGGTCCTGAGATCGAGCGCCACATCAGGCTCCCTACTCAGTGGGGAGTCTGCTTCTCCCCTCCCCCTGCTCGTTCTCTCTCTCTAATAAATAAATAAAAATAAATTTTAAAAAATGTCCAGGATACGACCCAAAAATTATTCAGCACATGAAGAACTATGAAAATCTCAACTATTGATTGCCTATTGAAAAGGTAATCAATCAAAAGACACCACTGCTGAGATGAAACATGACACAGATGTTAGAATTATCTAAACAAGACTTTAAAACAGCTATTATAAAAATGCTCCAACAAGTAAGAGCAAACAATCTTGAAATGAATGGAAAGGTAGAAAGTCTCAGCAAAGGATTAAAAGATAGGGGGTGCCTGGGTGGCTCAGTCGGTTAAGTGTCTGCCTTTGGCTCAGATCATAACCCCAGGTCCTAGGACCGAGCCCTGTGTCAGACTCCCTGCTCAGCGGAGAGTCTGCTTTTCCCTATCCCTTTGCCCCTCCCTCTGATCGTGCTCTCTCTCTTTCTCTCAATCTCACTCTCTCTCTCAAAAAAATAAATAAAATCTTTTTTAAAAGCATTAAAGGATAAAATAAGGAC